CTGCAGAGAGGCAGATGAGACTATTTGTATAATTTGACTGCTGAGTAAATTAAAGAAGATGAATATGGAGATATCTGCAGAGAACTCCACTGAGACATCCACCTTCACTGTAATAGGCAAATGTGTGTGTGTGTGTGTGTGTGTGTGTGTGTGTGTGTGTGTGTGTGTGTGTGTGTGATCCTGACCTTCCACCCCTGTCTCCACTCTCCCAGATGGGGCTGTTCTTTGTTGTCTGACGGCCCATCAGCTGATTCTGTCCAACCTCCAGTACTTGTCCCTGAGCCTCCTGCTTTATTGACCCCCCCGCCTCGACCCCTCAACTCACCCCTCTCCCTCCTCATCTACCTCCCCTTTCCTCTGTGTTATTACAATACCACAGAAAGGTCACAGTTACCCCACTTTGGTATATCACTCCTGTTATAGCTCACTCCCCAAAACACACACAAGCCTCTTCCCAAAATACTAAGGCCACGTTTACACGGAGACGAAAACAAACCTTAGTCGATATCAAAAAAGTCTTCTGTCCACACGGAATCGGCTCAAGAAACTTGTCCGTCCACACGAGACCGCTCGACCCGCTGAAGACGCTGTAGTACATATGCAGGGCCTGTAAGTGGCGCTGTACTTCCGCCACAAAATACACCAAAAGCAGCGAAGCATGGTTGCCATGGTTGCCCTTCTGTTTATTCTCCGCGGTGGATCTAGCAACATGTAGTTCATGTAGTTCTCCATGCCCACTTGTTGCCGATGGTTGTGGTAAAGGAGCTGTAGATTTTGCACTAACATCTGAAGCATGGTCAGTATTGCGCCTGGAGCACGAAAGCAACCCTATGGTCCGCCATTGTTGTTGGCAAAACACATCAGCATTGACGCGGGTGACTTGGGGGTGAGTAGCAGAGGTGGGGAGAGGCGGGGCTATGGCGTCATCTTTATCAGGGAATGATCAGGACGTACACACAGAGCCGTTTGTCCCCCCAGACCGTTCCGTCCGCAGATCTACCCACCTTGGGAGCCGTTATCGTTTGAGGGCTCTGTTTCCGCGGTTACGTTTCCGCGGTTCCGTTACGGCCTTGTGTGGACTAACCATACGATAGAGCAGTGGTTCCCAAACTGGGGGGCGCGCCAGGCCTCAGATGATTTGAGGCCAAATATAATATTTGGACATTTTTCTTTTTTTAAACGCAATACATGATTATCGCTAAAAGCCTTGTCTCTACATTACAATAAAATATTAAAAAAAAATTAATTAATTAATTGAATACAAATTCAAGTTAGTAGCTAATAAAGGCATAAAAAGTCAGACATTTATATTTTTTTCTTTAATAAAAATGTTTCTTCTGCGCGTAAGGTGTCCAAACCGGGCTTTTCTGGATAAGCGCATTTTTAAAACATAGTCATTGTCCATGCCGGTTTCAGTTGGATTATTTGTCACAGTTGCTCCGATCAGATCGCTCTCCTCCATTTTGTAGATTATTTACGATTTGTTAATCCACATAAACACATCGGCAAAATCTGGTTTACTTTGAGCATGTGTTTCAAACAGTTTAATCCCTTTGTGAATTGTTTCAACTTGTGCCGTTCTTTAATTTGTTCATACAGAGGGAATCCAAATGAATTAATCCTGAATTAGTCCATCAAAGTCACTCCAATGGTGCTCCTTAATTACGCTTTCATCCTCCTTTAACAACAATATCACATTCATTCAGTTTGTGCCAGTAGTTGTAGCATTTTTTAGACTTTTAAACTTTAATTACCGCTGTTGCACCTTGAGATGTTTACATTTTGGACTGCTTATTTCTAGTCTTTTAATTTCTCTAATGTACAATACCTTGTCTTTTTAGGCTGCTGCAACGCAAAGATTTCCCAAATTGGGATCAATAAAGTCATTCTTATCTGTAACCATAGGCTAGGGAAAGTATGATGACCATTATCATTTTTTCTTACATTTTTTCTTAACAATAACATCGCCTGTAAAATATACAGATATATATATATTTAAATCATATCAAACCTCCAGTCAGATTGTAGTTCAGATGTGACTTAAAGGAGATGTTTCCAGCTCTTCCTAACTCCCCCCCCTTCCCCTCCCCCTCCCTTGCAGAGCCCCCCTGGTGTTTAGCGAGGAGCTCCTGCTCAGCTGTGGCTTCCTGCTGTGTCAGCGCCTGGTGACCCGCATGGACCTGGTCTCCGTCCACCTGTCCTCCAGCCCCCGCCTCTTCTCCTTCCTCTCTCTGGCCTGGGGCTTCGTGGCGGACGTGGACATCGAAAGCGAGAAGTACCGCCACGCGGGAGCCGCTCGCTTCACCGTCGGCACGCTGGTGCGGCTGGCCTCTCTGCGCGTCTACAGAGGCACGCTCTCCTACCTGCCGGTCGCCGAGGACGACAGGGGGGAGGAGGAAAACCCGCCGCTGCACCACCAGGCCCCCCCCTCCAGAGACGCACCCTGCCAGAACTCCTTCCACAACTCCTGCCACTCCAACAACTCCCTTAAGGTGAGGAAGGCGGAGAGCACGCCTTCTCGCAGCACCACCAAAGCCCCCAGCGGCCCCCTAGACTCCCTGCTGCTGCCCCTGGACCAACCGTTGCCCGGCGACTGGGTGGTGGTGCCGGAGGAGGATTTTGTCCTGGTGCTGGCCATGTACCAGTCCAACCTGGCAGAGGACCTGCTGGCATCACCGGACTCCACCCCTGACGACGGCTGCATCCACCTGTTCTACGTGACGGGGGGGATATCCCGCGCCGCGCTGCTGAAGCTCTTCCTGGCGATGGAGAAGGGGTTACATCTGGCCAGCAGCTGTCAACATCTGGTGCACGCTAAGGTGCGGGCGCTCAGGCTGGAGCCGTCCTCCCCCAAAGGGGTGATCACCGTGGACGGAGAGGTGGTGGAGTACGGGCCGCTGCAGGCCGAGGTGCACCGAGGGCTGGCCAGACTGATCACTGGATAAACAGACTTCAAGACTCGGTCCAATAAACATATTTGAGCATTTTTGATTGAGAAATGTCCAGGTACGGGAGCAAAGCAATGTAAGACACGTTCACTGTTAACCGCAACGTTATCTGCCTCATCGGTACAGAGAAGAGGCTTCAGCAGGAAGTGAACCTGTTGGTGCTGATTTATCCCGTTCATGTGAATAACTGGCTTCCTATGACTTGACTGGCAGTGACTTATGAAATTACCAAATAGTTATTAGAGTTGAAGGTGGGCTCCAAAGAAAGTTATTACACTGAGGAAAAAAGACCTGGAGCTGAATTGTAAACATGTTCAGAGGCTCCTGGACGGGTGGTTGATGTTTCAGTGCCTCTGTGTGCTCCTCTACTCCATCCTCCACCCACAGGCTGTCCGTGGGGCAGATTTATTAACCATCACCAAGGTGTCCTTACCATTGAGCTTTAAGTCACGTAGAGGAGACGATGCCTCAGACTTCGGTCTACGGGGCAGCAAAGTCCGATTTTAAAATGTGTTTCATAATTGTAATCCAAATCTCTTCTGAGGTTTGTTTCATTCATTGGACAAAAAAAAGACGTGAACACTATGAAATCAGTTTGAATCAAAGAGAAATGAACTCTGAGTGGCCTTAAACAGGGGGCGGGGGGGAGCTGGTGAAAACAGCATGATGGTGATTGTATGGAGAGGGGAGAGAGAAGAGGGGAGGAGGAGATATCGACTTGTTAAATGCAGCATGAGGTAGACGAGTTATGTTCCAGACACAGCACCGTTATTCTTCATCCTCACCACAGGAAATCATTTGGGAGCTTTAGCAAAGTATCCTGACGCTCAGAGAGAGAGAGAGAGAGAGAGAGAGAGAGAGAGAGAGAGAGAGAGAGAGAGAGAGAGAGAGAGAGAGAGAGAGAGAGAGACCGACCGACCGACCGACCGACCGACCGACCGACCGACCGACCGACCGACCGACCTCGAGGCCAACGCACAGGGACAGTAACTGTACATTAGGAAATAAGGGGAGGGGGATTTCAACATTAACACCACAGCCTGTTGTTTCAGTTAAGCATAATATGTTTTTATTTAATCAGCATGCCACATGTATGTTTGACAGTGTAAATAATTGACTTGTTAAAGACCAAAAATATTGTATTTAAAATGATTATTATTTTTACATGATTTTGCACAATGTTAGTTTGGTGCCAACGCCATTTTGAAGCCTTTATGGGACATGGAGGTCCATTATCTGTTATTTTGTCTAAATGATGTTCAGCAGACGAGCTGGAAGCACATACGATGGAAACCGTACTTGAAGACGCACCTTCCCAATTTTCTTTTGCTGTTTTATGGAGGAAATGTGATCTGTAGAACCAAAACCTGAGGTCTGGCTACTGACTGTTAAAGTGGACAGAGTGTTGATCCATCACAAACCTTTATTTCCATGGTACCCCTTAAAATGAAGCGAGTATGCCGACGTGTAAATTCAACCAAAGAGAGACAAATTACATAAAATGTAGTGGCCTTAAAATGTAAAATCATCCTAAATTAATAATAAATAATCCTTATTAATACAAACAAATGATTGGGTTGAACAAAGTAAAAACATCTTAACTTTGTGTTGGAAAAATAATGTGTTCGCATTTTGTTTGGGATCCACAGATGTAAGGAAAAATACATGATATTATTATATTTGTTTTACCACAGTGCTACTGACCCCAAACACTTCAATACATTTGATGTTCTCTGCAGAGCTAGGTGTCTGTGTGCCTTGATGTGCTGCCCCCTGCTGGCCTCAACATGCTGGTGCATCCTTTAGGAAATACACTCATTTTCCCAACATCAGTTAAAAATAAATCCGATTGGGAAAGTTAAGGTAGGAGGCGTAAGAAAGGTTTAATTTTGGCACATTTTGACTCGAAAACTGTTATTACTATGGTGACACCTCTTCCTTAATCTTCAGCTTCTCACGAGGAAGAAACTGGAGCGACAGAATGATCCAGTTTCTCTAGGTCAGAAAATATAAATGAGTTGAATCAGACGGATAAAGTTACAGATGATGAAGGACCTGATGTTCATTTTGTAGAAGAGACATATTAACTCCGTCTGATGGTTGCTCTTATCGTGTTTACCTGCTGCTTATTAACTGTTGTCTTTGTTTGTGGTGAAGGGAGGAACTCCTTTTATTTTTCTGGCACACTGAATATTGAAATGATTGATTCTTTATTCTCGAGAGATCTATTTTTCCATTTGACAAATGTCTGTATTTTTTTCTACTATAAAATCAAACATTCTGCTTGAGTGTTTCCGACTGGAAAATAAATCATGAAAAATTAACCGTCTCTGATTTGTCTTTTAAAGAGTTTGATTTTAAAGGCACAGTTTCCTGAACTACTGTGCACTGTTTGTAGCTCAAACATGAGAAAAACGGTCTGTATTTTGGAGACTATCTTCAGCTGTGGATTAATACACATTTAGGGATATTAGTATTTAATACAAGGCTTAGTTGAATGCTGGATTCTGATTGGTCAATTCGGACATTTTAGAATCAAGCTTATTGCCAGGAAAGTTTACACATACAAGGAATTTGCTTTGGTGTCTGGTGGTGCGAACTTAAACAATCTATGAGAATAAGTTGTGATGGTAGGTAAAGAAAATATAAAGATAATAAAAATAAGTATTTTTAAGAAACTATTCGGCATAAAAAAATGGATACTATAGAAAAGTATTTACACCAAATGTTATATAAACATAAAGAATTTTAAAAGCTAAAAAACAAAACACTTAGTTCCTAGAGGTTATTGATACTCGATAACACACCGCAGCTAAGCTCAATATTGGCCGTTGCTAAGGAGGATCAAGGAAAAAGGTTGAATGGAGAGAAACTCCTTCTGGACGGAAGTTTGGTATTTTAGCTTTTGCAAACCACTTTCATTCACAAAAACCTATTTAACACGTAGTGTGTAGGAAAGGGGAAACCCCAAAAGCAGAATAGGGCCTCGTTCGTTCTTAAAATGATTGTTGTTTAGTGTTATCGTGTGATTTCTTAAAGTATACCTTTTATATCACTAACTCACCCCGTTACCTTGCATTTACAAAAATAAAGTTCACTGTGTTCAAACAAGAACTGTTTGTCCCTCCAAGTTAACACTGGGTGAGTCATTTATCAAGAAAGATATTTTAAGTACGAAGTATTCTTATATAGAGAAAACCTATGTGCTTTCTGCAGGCGATAGCACAGCTGACATGGATCCAAATAAATATAAGCCAGAATCTTCCTACGGTTCTGCTTGCAAAGTTTAATACATCACTATACATTTGTCTTCTTAACGCAACAAAAGTAAACCATTAAAAAATGAAATCATAAGTACAATACACGCTCAGCATTTTGTACAGGTATGCCCCAAGCATCCACGTGACTCGTTGTAACTCAGGTTTGTGTTAAATATATATACACTGTATGTATTTATATATATATTTCAATATAGTCATGACATCTGTACAGAGGGAATCAGGCTACAAATAATAACTTTATTGTTCTGTTCTTTTTTTAATATTTCAATAACAGGCCACTGTGGAAATGTAGACATCGTACAGTCAAGTCTTGTGTAGTCCGTTCAGAAGGCTTAAAGCAACATGTTACATGCTTTGGCTGTAAAACAAACTCCTCGCATTAATAATAATAACAATGGTTTCAATTTGAATAATATACACATACACAGAAAATTGTACATCATGTGCTTGATATCCTGCCAGATGTGTGTTGCTTAGAGGTCTAGCGAGATAGCTTCACATTTTCTGCAACTTATGACACATGAAGGAGTAATGTCAGCCGTGCTCCAAACTCTTTCTGAAAACACAAGGGGGCATTTTACAAACAGCAGCAAATGGGGAGGGGGGGCAGGATGGCAAGTAAGCAAACAAGGCTACATGCCACAGCTTGTAGCAACACCTCCTGGAGCATTAAAGGCAACATAATACAAATAATAATAAAATAATGTATTCAATTCCAAGGAAGAGGATTAATGTCAGAGGCCTGGTCGCCACATCAGATAGAGGAATGCCAGTTTTAAGAGTCAGGGTGTATACACAAACAAAGTCAAAGCAAACTGCGCTCATTCATGACCTTTATTTCACTTGGCTCATGGTTTTAATCCTCTCCCATCACTCAGAGCTTCACAACGTGCTCTCATTCAGAAACACTCTTCAAGTTCAAGTAAAACACAGCCAGCGCTCTCAGATCACAGCAAGCACACAGGGTTTGTCTGAGCTGTATTAGCATATGTTTATCAATGAGCATCATAATATATTGACAGAAAAAAAAAAGAGCATTACATTAGAGGTGGGATGCAGCTATTTAAAAAAAAAAAAAAAGTAAACAAAGACTGCTCTGATCATTCCCAGGAAGCACGGTCGGACCCAAATGTGAGTTTCACTTTCTTTCACAGTTTCAGCGCAATCGGTGTCAAAGCAAGAGTTTCATGCCACTTGGTCAATAAAACCATGATTTAGTTTATCCAATGAACAGATAGAGAAATACAAGATCTCGTCTGTGTGCTGTTATTTGTGTCATTTTCTCTCACCATTCACCTTCATGAGATAAGACGCTCAAGCCAGGGTGAGCACGGAATGATAGGGAAAAAATAAATAAAGCAAAACAGGATAATATAATCAAAGCTTCAGCATCATACTTAATGTAGTTTATAATCTGATGTTATTTAACTCTGCACGTGCAATTTGGAGAGGAACAATCAGGATACAGCTATGACCGCAGTGCTCTAGCTGCACTATCAGGAAGGAAAACACTGGAGCGGGGTCTGAGTGGTTGTTGGAGTGTGTGTGTGTGTGTGTGTGTGTGTGTTAATGTTTAAAGCGTGACTCTGTACAATGATCTGAAATTATTAACAACAATTCAAGTAAGGCAACATGTTGAAATGAGATGAACGGAATGGATCCTGTATGTTTGACTTCTATTTCATCTTGAAATGGTGGCGTTTGCATGTGATGTGGGTTCACAGAATAGTGGAGCATTGTGGGTAAAGCTGGGCTCTGAAACTGTAACACTGAAAGCGTCTGTGTGTAAAATGAATTAAAAAGCGTCAAAAGCACAGGTTGCGTTTTGGTGAGGGAACACGTTTTGCTAAATCCTACGGAAAGTGAAAGGAGCTTTTGAATGCGGTGTTAAGCTTCGAGCACACACACACCTCCACGCAGAGCTGACTGTCGTCCCGGGCCTGGCTGGCTCCTCTACACACACACACACACACAGCCTGACCCCGGAGGTGATCCGTATGTAAACTTTGTCACTCGGTGTTTGTGGCGTGGTTTAGTGCGGGTGCTTGGCGTAGGAAAATACCAGCGAGTTCACTAAAGTGGAAGAAGTGGTGAAGCTGTTGTGGTTGGCAGTTTTACTGACATTCAGTATGCTCTACTTGGTGTGTGTGTGTGTGTGTGTGTGTGTGTGTGTGTGTGTGTGTGTGTGTGTGTGTGTGTGTGTTTTTGGACAGAGAGCATTTGGCAGAAAGCGTACAACCAGTGATTTCTATTTAAAAAGAGTCCTGTGTGTTTACACGGCGTCTCCTCTCCCAGACCAGGCTGTCCGTTGGGTGTTGTAGTGCAGGACGGTGCAGAGAGGACATCAGTAGTGCTACAGAAAGAGCCCAGGAGGCGCTGGGTCTTCAGTTTTTCAGCCATCTTTGATCTTGTCCAAAATGCAGCTTAACAAGTCTGCTTAACATTTTTCAGGCTGATAGAGAGTGGTTAACAAATCCCCACACATGTGGCGGATGCTGCTGGGGGCTGGGTGGAAGAGAGTCCATGGCACTGATTCTCCATCTCACTCAGTTCTTTATGCGTCCAAATCAGCTCCACTAAAGTCCTGCTGAGGCCAAAAGAGAAACTTTGACCTCTGGGAGAAGCTTGTAGTTCACCTGCGTCCAGATGAGGGTTCCTGTGACGGGCAGCTCCAACAGGTTTGTGCCACTGGGTGAGGCCCGCTGCTCTTTATCCATCACACTCATCTGAAGAGTCACTGAAGGAGAACAAAGACATTATCAAGTCGGGTCAGAACCTGAACCGGTGCACTCTCCTCCCCATCAGGAGCTGCTCTCCTGCAGTCATGACCCAGAGGGATTATGGGGGAAATAGGGCAGAACATTGTGGAGTTTGGGGAAGCAGGAGCAGGACAGACGAGGAAAAACGAGGACGAGGACGTGGGCAGTGCTTGGGGCACAGCTCTGGACGGGGGGACAGGAGATTGAAAACAGTCGCCCCTGCCCACCTGCAAACACAAGGATCCTCCTCTACGGCTGGAGGCGGATGAAAAGGTAGAAGAGAAGGAGGAAAAGAGCAGGGAACAGTGCAGAGGTTTGTCGGGGGACGGCGAGGAGGCACTTACTTGTCCTCAGTGTGCTGGGGGACGGCGGCGGCGACCAGCGCGGCGCGGTACTGCAGCAGCACCCCCCGCACGCTCTTCACAAAGCCCTTGGAGAGCGGGAAGAGCGGGAAGCCGAGGTCCGGGTACCCGCCGCCCTCCGGGAGGAAACTCCTGTAGCTCTTTCTTCGTTTCTTTGGTCGCACCACCGGCTGGCTTCCCACGGAGCCCGTCCCTCCTGCGCCGGCCGGGGCGGGCTCTGACGCCGGGCCGCGGACCACCGAGCCCGTCCTGGTCTCCACGCCGGCAGAGGAGACCCCCTGCTGGCTGTCGCAGTCTGAGTTCTGGCTCAGCTCCTGCTGAGAGGCGGCTCCGGTGGAGGGGCTCAGCCCTGAGTCCTCCAGCTCCTCCTCTATAATACTGGTCACTCCTTTTCCTGCGACCCCCTCCTCCCCAGGCTTACTGGGACTGCTGTGGGCCACCGCTACGGGCCCCTGCTCGTCCAGAGGCTCCACTGATGAGGGTCGGTGGGCTCTGGAGGCCATGTGCGCTGCCTGCCCCCGCTCGGCGCCTTCGTGCAGCTCCAGCCACGCCTCCAGCCGGTAGACGAGCCGCCAGCCGTTGGAGGCGAAGTGCTCCTGGATCTCCTGCTTGAAGACCTCCACCGGGTGCTGCAGCAGCTGTGTCATCGTCTGCACCATCTTGATCAGGGCCATCTCGTTGTAGCAGCGGCTGTTCTCGTATCCTTCCTGAAGGCCTCGGTCGCTGTCGAAGCCTGCCTCGTTATAGTACGGCTCGTTGACCAGGATAAGGCCTGAAAAATACAAGAGACGGCAAACAGCACAAGGAGGTTCAGAGGATATTTCACTGTGTGGTGAAGGACCTTTTCACTTAAGAAATACACATTTCAGCTGGTCGTAGTTAAAAAGAGAAGTACCCCTAAAGTAATCCATAATGCGATAAATCACTTATTTGATACCCTAATTTAATACCCATCATGGGAAAGAAAGCATTTGGTTGCACAAAATACCGCGAGCAAACCTTACCTATCCAAAAGAAATTCAGACAAAAACATTTTTAATTCGTAAAATATTTATATATATTGCACTTCAGCACAGTGCATACTTGATGGCCATTAGCTGCTGGGGAACTAGACCTATCAGGTGTCACATTAGATGGCTGTAAGGAAAACCACACTAAAGTGCCCATCTGGGTACAAAAAGGATCAAACGAGGACGACAAGAGAAGTTTAAACTCTTATTGCTACTGGGTTGGTTAATAAAGTTATTCAGTATCAACACCCAGTCCTGTTGAATCCTAGATACAGATTTGGTTTGACAAAAAGTAGGGAATTTCTGGACTCAGTTTTTCAGGCAGGCCGTATTGAAGATTTATGAAAGTGGTCTGTCTGTCTGTCTGTCTGTCTGTCTGTCTGTCTGTCTGTCTGTCTGTCTGTCTGTCTGTCTGTCTGTCTGTTCTTACCTTGTATAGAGATGAGGACTTGCAGCAGACTGGACTTGCTGGTCCATCTCTCAGTGCCCTGTGGATCATCACAAACATTGATAATCATTAATCCCATTAACAATTTCTATTCAAATGTAATATCACTTAATGTTGATTTTAGTGAAATAATGATTGATATTTTTCATCATTTAAAAGCCTTCAAATATGTTGTTTTGTCTAACTTATCGATTTATTGCCCAATCATTTAACAACAACCTGCGCTACATTTAGTAACTATAACTCCAATTTCGACACAAAGCTTTCCGAATGCAGCTATGCATTTCTAATCAAGTCTGGTTAGAAAGAGATTTAGTGCGTTGCTTTAATTGTGGTACACACAGACCTGTAAACCTGCAGGTTGTCTCTATTCAAGTGATAAGAAGAACTGATAGATGTTTATACGTGGCCCAGCAGAGCAGCACTCACCTTTCCGATCCAGGTTCCCAGCAGGCTAACGCACACCTTGCCGTTGTCGTAGAGGTTGGGGTTGAGGCGGCCGCTGCACTGCGACAGGTAGCGGAACAGAGGCGGCACCGAGGGGTAGATGTTGGGCAGCTGGATGTCAAACACGAACAGACCGTCCTCGTAGGGCGTCCGAGTCGGACCTTTGATCAGAGCCGAGAACAGGTCCTGTGTGGAAGAAGGGAAAGAACATATCAAGATTTATGATGCATGCAGGCAGTATCTCTGAGCGAGAATATGATGAAGAGCAAAGGAGACAGCTTCTACCTCGAGGTTAATCACGTTTTACAGGTCCCATGTCATGGCCATTTCCACTGATCACAATTCCATTGTTGAGGTCTACTAGAATAGATTTATATTGTGCAATTTTCCAAAATCACTTTGGTTTCTCATCCAGCATCTCTGTAAACTACGTGTATTCACTGAATTTCACTCTCTGCCTTTAACGGCTCGTTGGAGCTCCAGTAGCTCGAGCCCCCACCCTCCCTGTGAGCACAGTGTGCTCTGATTGGTCGGGACGTTGTGAATTGCGCTGAGCTCCGTGGAGGTGTGGTTTCCTTGTTTAGCGATACACAGCCAAACTCACCCTGAGCACACACAAAGTCACAGCCGAAGTAAAAACAATAAGNAGGGTGTACCCACACATATACACACAAAAAAACACACACACACACACACACACACACACACACCTCTGGAGAGGATCTGATTCCTCCGGCTCTCTTCTCCCCTTCCCTTCTCTATACTCAGATTAACGGGATCAATTCCTCTTTATCAGTCCAGTCACATCAAATGTCAGTATCCATGCAGAGGCTGTACACTGAAGATGATTGAAG